TGCCAGAAGGATGTCTGACTGCAAGCTTAGGCCTGATCCCCCAGAGAGTGGGCCTAAGTCGACAGGTGGACATCCCCTAAGGGGTCCTGGACTGCAAATGGGCGCAGGCCAGGCTGAGGGGACCCCCCACACCCGAGTGCACAAATTTTTGTGCACCGGGCCTCTAGTATAATTATAATTAATATAATACAACATAAAATTTTACCTTGAAAGTCTATGTGAAACTCTTTCTATAACGTATCACTTTTTATACTGTTTGGATTTCAGAAAAAATACAATTTTAAAGAGTCCTAGGACCCTCCTCCTCTCCTTATTCAGGGCATTAGTCTTCTCTCATAACCTCTGCCCTTGGTGCTTTCACTGAAGAGTCCTCTCTTTTTCTCAAATAAATTTTTATTGATTTCAGAGAGGAAGGGAGAGGGAGAAATAGGAACATCAATGATGACAGAGAATCACTGATCAGCCGCCTCCTGCATGCCCCCTACTGGGGATCAAGCCTATAACCTGAGCATATGCCCTGACAGGAATCAAACGCTCAACCACTGAGCCACGCCAGCCGGGCAAGAGTCCTCTCATCTTATTTCAGTTTTTGGTGTGGACCTGCCAGCTCTAGTGTTCCAAGGTAAAACATTTTCTGAAGAACTTTGTATTACAATTCTCACAATACAAAACGTGTGATTTTAAAACAATTTGTTTGATAGTAACACGTGAATTATTTGGAGTCATTTTGCATCGATCTACTTGGGAACCATAGATCTGCATGGAGCGCATATAATCCCCAAATTCAAACTGGCCAAGAAATAGAAAAATTGAAAGCAGGGACTCAAACTGATACTTTGGGGGTGGGGGGTAATCTTTACTGTTGAAAGTATTACATAGGTCCCCCTTTCTTCCCCATTGACCCCTTCTAGCCCACCCCCAGCAGAGCTCAGTGTTTTAGGTACCTTATATACATTATGTCAGTATATCCCCAAACAAACTCTGGATCATCCCCTACAAGTCTGGGTCTCTCTTAGCTTACCTCAGTGAATGACACTATCATTTAACCCTTTCACAAACCACAGACTTTTGGAAAATTTTTGACACCCCCCTCTCACCAGTCCACTCTCACCCATTTCCAATCCATCACCAAGCCCTGTTGATTTCATCTCCTAAATATTTCCAACCACCCTCTTCTCCACCACCACGCTAGTTCAGGTCACCATTGTCTCTACCTGGACTGTCCCATAATCTCCTACACTTATGCCTGAATCCAGTCTAGCTCCAATCCCAAATAGAAAATTTGATTGCCTCTCTTCTCTGAAGCCAGCTCAAGTCTTCTGCATTGTGATACATGACATCAGCATTTGCCCTTTTATCCACACCCCCACGTCTCACCCAGCAGCAATTTCTATTAGTTTTACCTACAAAATATTTCCCAGCTTTATTCACATTGAAAGGGTTAAAGAGAATAAAACAGGGCAGAGGAAACGTATTGTGCTTAGCAGACATCTCACAGAAAGCGTGCAGCCTTGAGCTCAGCATAGCCTAGATAACCACTAGACTTCTGGCGCCTGGAGGAACCAAAGACGGTAGGACCCGCCAGTCAAGCTCTGTACATCAGCAGAACTGCCTGCAGCCAGCAAAAGCTAATAAAAGCCTGCCTCCCCCGACGCTGACTCCTTTTTTCGGACTCAGCCCACCTGCACCCAGGTGCTTGAAATAAAAGTTCTTTTGATACATTATGGCCTCAGGTCATAGGTGCTCGACCCCGACCCACTCCGAACCTTTCACACATCACACCATTTCCACGGTTATCACACTAGCCTGCCATCTCCTGCCTGGTTCACTACGGTCACCTCCCAAATGGTCTCTCTGCTGCCACCCTGACCTTCCCCCACCCCTGCATCATACTGGTTTCTTAAGACATACATCAATCCCATCATGTCCCTGCATAAGGGCCTCCAATGGCTTCTCACTGTGCTTAGAATAAAATTCAATTCTTTAGCGTGGCCTCTGTTTTTAAAAATAAAGTAAAACAGTTATTTTACCAACAAAAATGGGTTTATTTGGGAACAACACAGAACTGCAATTCAGGACAAGCAAGCAATAGCAAAAGCCATAGGTAAGTCCAATAAACAAAGGAGAAGAAAGTTAATTTATGGAGAAAAAAAAGACCGGGGTAGGGGTTATTCTTGAAGAAAATCCATTGGAGAAAACTTGAGAGTTCAGGGAAGTAGTGGTTTCTCATTGGTTGAGTTGCTGGGGCAGTCAAGTTCTTGTAGGAGATGCAATGCACATCTTTTCCTGTCGTGGTCTATAATTGATCGTTTTTTGTTACTAACTATTCTATTGTAGAGTGTAAGTGACAATTCTTCCTGCAATTGACATGAAGTGGTACTGTGTGAGAGCTCCCCCTTCTGGCCTCCGGTCTCCATTTCAGCGAAGTTTCCCTTTATTAATTTTCGCACAATACAAGGTGTGACCCAGCCTATGTCTTCCACCTCTCCCCCTTTCTCAGGCTGTCCCGTCTGCTTTCCCTCAAACACTCCAAGCCCCTTCCGACCTCAGGACACTGAGCTAAAACCTGAAGGATTTAGGTGCAGAGAACAGAAAACAGACTCCAGCTGGTTTAAACAGGAAGGAATGTGTTACAGAGTGGTATGTGTTATAAATAATCCGGAGATGAGAAAGAAACAAATTTAGGGTTGAGCTTTCAGGAACAACTCCCAAAATCACACCACAGAAGAGTGCTACCGAGGGAGCTGCCCCGGCTGGAAACCCTCGCTGCCCTTGGGGGAGCCACCAGGAGCCAGGAGGCCCTGCTGCCGGCCACTGCAGAGCCACACCTGCCACAACCCAGGGGCACCGCCAGCAGACGCACTGCCAGCCCCGCCTCTTACCCTTCTGGACCTGGTGCTCACACTCTGGAAATGGCCACAGGAAAAAACAAAGGCCTGAAGACAATATTTATCTGCAGAAACTCACACCTTCCAAAGGTCACGTATTGGCTGAACCTAAGTCACTCCCAAAACTCTAGCTCTAACTGAAAGGGAGTCTGGGAAATATAGTTTCAGCTTTCTAGCCTGCTGGCAGGCCCAGAGAGGAGGGGTGAATGGATATTGAGTGGCAGTCCATCATATTCATCACCATGTGCACGCATGTGTATGTTTGTATGCACACGTGCCCACACATATGTATGTGCTATGTACATATTTGCATGTCTCTGCATTTGTGTTTGTGGATCACATGTGCACACACGTGATGGGGGAAATGGGGGATTAATAGGCCATCAAGATCAGAGAGAAGGAGTTATTACCAAAAAGACCATCAGATGCTGGAAACCAATTCCAGCATGATAGCAGGGCTGAATCTGGGAATGGCTGAAGGCATTCCCCCAAACCTGAAAAGGGATGATTGCTTGGCTGCCAGACAGCTCAGGACATCTTAATCTGCATGTTATTGCCTCCTACTGGCCAAACACCTGAACAGCCGTAGGCTAATTCTTCCATTCTGACAATGCTTGTGTATACCCTTTGAAGCGTATATCTCTGCCTCGCCTCAGGACAAATCGTGTTAATAAAAAGCATGGGGTCCTGAGAGGAGACCTTAGACCAGTGGTTCTCAACCTTCCTAATGCCGCGACCCTTTAATACAGTTCCTCATGTTGTGGTGACCCCCAACCATAAAATTATTTTCGTTGCTACTTCATAACTGTAACGTTGCTACTGTTATGAATCATAATGTAAATATCTGATATGCAGGATGTATTTTCATTGTTACAAATTGAACATAATTAAAGCATAGTGATTAATCACAAAAACAATATGTAGACCTAAGAACTTAGAACTTAGATCTTAGTTTCCTTTAAGCTAAGCTCCTCTGACCCCCAAATGCCTTTCAAAATTATGCTTCGCCTCTGGACTCTTATTTAATCTACGCACTGCCTTCTCCAGATTGCTGAACCCTTCTTAATGCTGGAACAAGAACCCCGGCAATAATCAGACACTTCCTCTGTGTGGACCAGCACCAGAGCTCCCAGGGCCATTCGGCTAAGATGGAAAAGTGGGCTTGAACAGTTCAACAGTCTTATTTTCCTAATGGGAAAAGCAAGGCCAGAGGAATTATGTCCCCTGTTCAACGTCACACTGCAAGGCCAGGCATTGGTCTAAAACACAGCCAGGCCTCTAGGGGTAAGGTCCATGTTTTCTACTCGATGTAGCCAGGCTCCCAGGGAGGGTTTTACACGAGGGATCCTCCCACACTGGGCACCCGCCCTCCGCCTGCTCCACAGGACTGGCCGCTGGTCTTTCGGCAGCATGTTCCATGTACTTCAGTAACGGCAAACATTTACAGACGCCTGCTCTGTGCCGGGCAGTGTAGGCAGGTGGGAGGTGGATGAACACATAGGCACGAGTCCTCCCCTCCAGGAATTCCGCGTCCTGTCGGGGAGTCAGGTACAAAACCTCAACAGAGTCAGGAGCCTAACAGGAGAGATAGGGCACTTCGGGGACATCCTAACTGTGGTCAATAAGGAAATTGAGACTCAGCAAGGATCCCTGACCACGCCAAGGTCACACCGCCCATAAGTGGCTGAGCCCAGAATTGAACCCATTATATTTGAACCCAAACCCATGCTTTTAACTATAGGAGGCAGGATAGCAGGGAGTGTGGACTTAGGTGTCACCCAGACCTGTGCCCAAATCCTAGGCTCAGCTCCTTGCTACTTGTGGGCCTTAGGTGAGCTACCAACCTCTCCTTGCTTTGGTGTTCTCTCTGTAAAATGAAGCCATGAGTATTTTTCCTTGTGGAAAGGTGGGAGGGTTAGATCGAGAATGCATGGGAAAGGCTGAGCCAGTGCTGGCACATAAGGAATCTTTGATCAACGTTACCTCTGGTTACCCTAGGTTCTCAGCCTGCCAGCCCCAGGCCCCTGAGGGCAGAGGTAAGGCGGCTTCCCTGGATCTTCCAACATGTAGAAGTCACATCTCTCCTCCAGGCTGACCTTGTACACAGTGAAGTAGTTAACAGTTACCAGCAGCTGGAGATGGGGGGAATGGGGACATATTGGTCAAAGGGTACAAACTTCCAGTTATAAGATAAATAAGGTTGAGCCCTAGCAGTTTTGGCTCAGTGGATAGAGCGTCAGCCTGCGGGCTGAAGGGTCCTGGGTTTGATTTTGGTCAGGGGCACGTCTTGGATGCAGGTTCTCCGGCCCAGCCCGGGTCGGGGTATGTGCAGGAGGCAACCAATGGATGTGTCTCTCTCACTTCAATGTTTTTCTCTGTCTCTCCCTCTCCCTTCCACTCTCTCTAAAAATCAATGGAAAAATGTCCTCGGGTAAGGATTAACAAAACAAAACGGTTAACAAGGTTGAAAATCTAATGTACAACATAGTGATTATAGCTAATAATATTGTGTCATATACTTGAATGTTGCTAAGAGAGATGTTAAATGTTCTCTCCACACACAAAAAAGGTAAGCATGTGATGCGATGGAGATGGTAGCTAAACTATGGTAGTAGTCATTTTGCAATTTATAAATGTGTCACATCAACAGATTGTAAACCTGAACTTTACACATTGTGCATCAATTATATATCAATAAAGCTGGGGGGGGGGGGGAACAAATTTAACCTTGCCATAGAGAGGTCTGACCTTTGCCCTCAGCTCCTGGCAAGGAATCCAGGTAGGAACAATGTGATTTAGGGCGAGGGGTGGCCACACCAGAAAGAACCACCACATGACTTGGGGGAGGGGGGGTTGGGTCACATGGTATCAGTTGAACTAGAGACTGAAATCAACCAATCATTGATCCATCAATCATGCCTACCTAATGGAGGCCCAATCAAAACTCTGAACACTGAGGCTCAGGTGAGCTGCCCTTGTTGGTGGTGCTCCATGCGGGTCACTGCTGACGGCTGCAAGGAAATGAATGCATCCTGACTTCACAGAGAGAGGACAATGAAGGCGCAGCCTCTAATGCCTCTCCAGGCGCCACTGTGTACATCTTCCCTTGACTGACTTTAATCTGTTCTTTCCCTGTAATAAACGGTTAACTGTGGGTACAATAGCTTTCAGTGAGCTCCATGAGTTCTTCTAGTGACTAACACAATGTAAGGGTGGTTTTGGAAACCTCTGAACTTGCAGTTGGTGTCCAAAGTGAGGGTTCTCTTATGATCTCTGTTCCCTCTAAATTATACACTTGGGCCCTAGCTGGTTTGGCTCAGTGGATAGAGTGTCGGCCTGCAGACCGAAGGGTGCTGGGTTCGATTCCGGTCAAGGGCACATGCCTCAGTTGCAGGCTCCTCCCCGGTCCGGGCCCTGGTCAGGGCCCGTGCAGGAGGCAACCAATTGATGTGTTTCTCTCACATCAATATTTCTTTCTGTCTTTCCCTCTCTCTTCCACTCTATCTAAAAAACAATGGAAAAATATCCTCGGGTGAGGATTTTAAAAATAAAATAAAAATGAACTGTACACTTGGCTAAACTCTTGCACCCTGGCACGGTGAACAAATGAGTACATGAGCGGGCTTTCCAGAACTGCTCATAGCCAAAGTCAAACAAGGCTTATCCCAAACCCTGTGCAGTAGGGACTCATCATCCCTTCACAGGTAAGGAAGCGGAAGCTCAGAGAGGAGTCCGGAAGGGAACCAGGCCTGCCAGGCTCCAGGTTCAGGATCTGACCACCACCGGATACTTAGCGCCCCCC